TGTAATTTTAGTTTGGTATTTTACTTCTCCCAAAAGAGCACAGAGCAGAAAGAGGAACATGTTATGAGTCCCAGAGGTTATCTGTGAACTGTGTTTAAGTCGTATTCATGAACAAATAATATCCATGAGTGGGTTAACGAAGACATTACAGTGCATGAGTTCTTAAATGATTTAGTTCTCATTTACATATGCATAACACCTAGGAGTAAAAGTTCTGAAACTAATGAAGTTGTACTGTGTGATATCTGTGCAAGCGAAATCAGAAGATAAATTACTGACCTTGTAGAAGCAGCACTACCAAAGATGACTCAGAAAGGCAATAAGGAGCTGCAGAGAAGACTGAAAAGGAAACGATTGTGTAGCCCAAGTCTTAGCTATTGATGATAAATCAGTGCCTTGGAATGTGAATTGCTATGTTCCTCAAGAAGCAACTGAGACTCTCAGAAAAATATATTTTATTCCTGATCTTTCAAGAGCTGCTCTCAATGCTACATCTAAATCAGACTCTTTTTCTAGCTATTCTTCATTCAAAATAAAAACAGGACGGAAAAAAAATGTATTTTCTGCTTTTTCAGAGTGTAGCAGAATCTGTTAGTTCCTTTTCACTTTTACTGCTTCTAATGTTTCACAGCAAAGGCAAACCTCTAAACTCCAATTCCAATGTACTTACATCTGTTTTGCTCTTTTAAATATGTTTTTTTTCATTACATACCATTCATTAACGAAAGAATGCTTCTTTACTTGGACAGGAAAGATTTAAAGGAATGGACAAGACTACAAAGCACATAAATTAACGCTGTTTTCCTAGAAATAGTTTTTCTTAGACATAGGCAGCAGAACACATTGATGAAAAACAATATATATAAAATAAATAATCTGATTTTCTATCTTATTACAAATCTAGCCTCAAGACTTGCATAAAGATTGCACAACTGAGAGACTCAGTACAATTCATTTTAACAGAAGTACTGCCTGGAACAGAAAAAAACCCTCTTTCCTCCAGCTATGCTGCCCACAAAGGGAGATTGAACAGAACACTGGGAGAAAATGGTGCCACTGGGACACAGGTTGATGATTTTCACTGCAATTCACATTTTGGAAAGCTGTGTAGTGAAATGGTGGCAGTAACAGCTATACTTGAAGCTAATCAAGTGAATTCAGTAGTTTTCTTCTTTGCTTGCTTTACAAATGTTTCCTAATGCACAAGAAGCAAACCCTTATTAACGAATTCTATGGGACACAGAACAGAGGGAAAGTAATTGAAAAACAGTAATATCTCAAAAAAGTAAAGCAGAACAGGCCTATTAAAAAGGACTTCTTTTTTTTTTTTTTTCAGAGTCACAGGTTTAAATAGTCAAAAAGCAACCCCAACATCGAAGCTGTCTTTTATACTCTGCAGTCGAACCTGAGAAGTGTCACTGGAGGCTTTTTAGTGAAACATCACAATGTACTGGGAAAAGACAAGCAGGTTTTTGTGGCAAATTCATACTTAGCCTGTTTCACTTCTTTTCCCTATGCCCTAACTGAGTTTAATGGTTTACTGGCACTTGTTATTCAGGATTTATACCAAAGAAATTCAAGGTGCCCTGGGTTTATAGACCTTGACATCACTTTCTGTTCATAGTTATTGATATAATCAAGAAATGAAACAATACTAGAAAGACCGAGGTTACGAACAAGAACTGCAGCCATAAACTGCAAGGTATGGCCTTGAACACTGTGTGTGCCTGTCTCTGAAAGAGAAAAGGACATTGGGAATAAACTCCCTCCTTTTCAGCTTTCTCTTATTTTTTTCCTTCATTTCCACCAATACATAGTCATTCTTAGATGATGAAATGAGAATAGATTGGGGCTTTTTGATTCCTCTCATAACTTGTGCATTTAACTTCAAATTTAACTCTAATTGCCCTGTGTTTCAAACAATGTTAAGCTACACAGACTTGCAACATCTCACTTATCTTCTCCTAAGGAAATACGTCAGAGTGCATTGTACTACATGAATATTCAAAAGAATGACAACTTAACTTTGACTTTTTTTAAATGTCCCTTTTTACTGGAAAAATTCACAATTTTTTGTTCCAGGAAAAAGCATTTTTCACATTAAACCCCATCTTACATCTTCCCTTAAACATACATTTATCAGTACATTACCATTCACAACAGTGGAATGCAGACTTATACATCCTTACCTGAGAGAAAAATGATACAGTAAATTTTAGATATTTTTCGATATTTATGAAAAACAGCTGCAAATCTGAATGATTAAGAAATAATGTGCTTCACCATCTGTCATTCAAGTGACTTGTTACTTCACAAATTAAATCAAACACTAATGGCCAGCTAAAATCATCTTTTGCTTGTCATCTAGTGTAACTATTTGCTTCAGAAATTTCTGCTTTCAGGATGATGATGACAATATTTAATCATGGATTTCCAGACAGAAATAACAACAAAAAAAATTTACACTAATCTCACCGTTTTTAAAGATGAGTGTTTTGTTTTAAACAAAACTGTAACCTTGCAGGAAAAGATGTGATCCTCTGTGGGTGATTTGGCATTTTGCATTTCAAAACTTAAAAAAAAGTTAAAATATTTAAAACTAAAATCAAATTACCTAAAATTGTGAGAAAAAAAATATGGATTTTCCTTGTAGCGTAAAAAGTTATTTTGGGATTTCTGGTTCCTTGAGGAAAACCTGAAATACTACATTTAGTAGTAATTTAACACAAAACTTCATTCATTTGGGGTTAATTTTTGCAGCAGTTGAAATCAAAATGCAATTTTTTGTGCAGGTTGTGAAGGTTATTAGCTTTAGGAGACCTTTAAGTTACTCTTGAAGTACTGCTTGCCTTGCCCTTCAATATAACATGGAAAACTAGCCAATAAGAATTTGGATGTTAGAAAAAAGACAACCAACCTTCTTTTGGAAAATGTTGTTAACACAACTGAGTATGCCAAACTGGCAACCTACACGCTTACTGTGATTTCTAACCTCTCTGGGGCATGAGTGACACAGTGTTCAACAGGATTAAGCTACATTATTTGCTGGGAAGCTCTACTGTTTTGGTTCTCAAGCACTGCACAGACGAAATGTTCAGTGTAAATACAGATTTCCCTGTCTATACTTTGAAAATTTGGAGACAAAAATCCTTTCATTTAGTACCTATGATATTCCAATTATGAATAATTCTAGGAATAATTTTACATGGACAGCTGGTACTGCTAGATTTGCTAATTAAATAACAAGGTAAGTCAAGGCTCTCAAGTGTTCTGGAATTATTGAAGTCTTGGACAATGTTGAGGCAATACTTATGATTCCTGGCATATCTGTAAAAACAGCAACCAGCAAAGTGCACTTATAAATTGATGGATGCAGAAGTTAAGTATTGTAGTAAAACTATAGCGTTAAGTCTTCTACCTGTAAAATGTGTGCAAGGCACAAGTGTAAATCCACAGCAGAAGAATAGTGGAAGTTATGTCCAAACCAGTGAAAAAGAGATGCCATTTAATGATAGACTGTGATTTGACAACATATTTTTATGGTTTCATTTTAATACATGGTTTAGTCCAGAAATGTCTGTTCATATACAGTCACAACCCCTTCCCTGACCCCAAAAAATTGCTTATACAGTCCCATAAACTTCTTTTTATGCCTACATATAGACACACAGATGTACACTTACCAAAGGTGAAAGTGTTTTAGTGTGTTGTCTTCTTTTATAATAATACCAATCTTTCTTCTGCAATGATTTCCAGTTAACTGATGAAAAGTGCTTTAGAAGAACCGAATATTAATAATGTTGTATGTGGGGTCAGATGTCCCTTTTGTACATGGTAGCAATGATCAATAGATATATTAGCAATAATAAGTATTCCTATAAGCAAAATCTTGTACAGTACAGTCCCAGCCAGCAGGACAGATGTTAACTGGGACCAGATATTAAATGAAAAATTGCTTTATTTTTCTTATAGGAAGGTGTAATATGAGTTAAGGAGGGCACCATAACATTTATATGTAAAATGATGTAATTATGTCAGTTGAAATGTTATAAAAATATTAACCAAAGATATGTAAGTATGGGAAATTTTAGCTCTTTGGTTTTTTTCCCTCTGGTAAAACTAGAAACAGTAGGAAACAGCATTTTTTACAGAGAAAATAAAGAAACTGTTCATAGAGATCCCTGTTATTCCTCAGTATTCACAATAAAAATGAACAAGAGACCTCGCAGCACAGATCCAGCATGTCTGGTTTCATTTTAGCCACAAAAAGAAAACCTGTGGTGTAAATGTGTGACATACTGTGCTGAAAATGGTAGCTGGGCTAGTACTTGACACAGCTGAAGAGGGAAAGACAGGAGTGAAAATTTTACATGACTTGCAAGTTTTCTTCGTGTGTTTCCTGCACAAAGCAGAGCTTGTCTTCATTTGTGCTTAATGGAAACTATGGTAGCTAACAGATGTTATGATGACTGCAGAAAAACAACAAATTAGGATCACCAGCCAAGGGAATTGTTAGCTTCTGAAATTAGACAGGATAGTGCAGTTGCTCATTTCCTACAGCCTAGTGTTACTCAAATCATATCTAATAATTGGGAACAAGAAATGCACTTGCTGACCACAACAGCAAAAGACATCAGGGTCAATAAAGGCCAAAACAAGGTGTCCAAATAAATCACCCTGTAAACTTATTCCATGATGAGATGTACAGAAAGAAAGTGATATTTTAGATAGTCAAATATAGGTAGCAAATATATTACTTGTAAGAATCAATACAAAGAAAATTAGAGAAGATGTTCACGTTATTTTTCTTAGGAAAAAGAGGATCTCCAGCCAAGAAAAAAATAATTAAGAGAGTCAGATTAAAAGGGAAATCATATAAAAACATATTCATCTTTTCTTTGACTAACTCTAATAATCAGTTGCAAGAACATTTTTAATGGATGTTGAAATGCTAATCCAAATAAAAAAGGCTAAATATCATTATTACTTCTTTCTTTCAGGTGGTAAAAATGATGATTGTGGTTGTGCTGACATTTGCCATCTGCTGGCTGCCCTACCACATTTACTTCATAGTCACTGGTATCTATCAACAATTAAACCGGTGGAAATACATTCAGCAAATCTATTTAGCCAGCTTTTGGCTTGCCATGAGCTCTACAATGTACAATCCCATTATCTACTGCTGTCTTAACAAGAGGTAAGAGCTAATTATGAAATGATGTGCATAACTTCAATGAGAATATAAATGGTTTAAATGGGATAAAAGATGAAGAATATTCCCTTGAATAGTTTTCAGTTAGTTGGAAAGAAAACAAAATGCAAAAAAAACTTTCTTTAGGTTTCTACTTGAAATGAATACCAAAAAAACCCAAAGGTGTGCTTCCAGTAAATACTTTGGCCTATTTAAATTTCAGAGCAAAATTCAGTTTTCTGAACCCACCCCTTCCTATTTCCATATGCAAAATTCAAAAATCTATAGCATTTTAATATATTTTGGCTTGCAAAACATTAGAATAACAAGGTAAAGACAGTCAGTAGTGATACAAAGTGCAATCCGTATGTTCACTAACTAATTGTAGCTCTAATTTTGTTTTGCAATGCTGGAAGGATATAATATAGAATGTGATTTACTGTGTTTTGTACACCTCACCATTAGATTTCGACCATGCTCTGAGATGCGCAACAGGCTAATAAAACAAATATTTACATTCTCATTACTCAACACCTAAATTACAGTACTGTTTGACAGCAATCCATTATGCTCTGAATTTCAAAGGCACTGCACCTGTTGAGTCTGATGAGATTTCACAGATATTTGCTAGTATGAAACTACTGCATTGCAGAATGAACACATGTTTTTCATTTCAGCTTGTTGGACCAGGATCTAAACAAATATCATCCTGGCTGTCCTGTTCTTCAGTATTTCTTCCAGTATTACTTGACAAACATCACAAAGAACAACAAGTCATTTCACAAATTCAGTTAATATGAATCATTATTCATATTAATAAGTAATAAGTCATTTTAAATATAATTTTAAATCTCTTTTGAATTAGCAGCCAGTGTCAAGTTTAATTACTGACAAGCTTCATACCAATTTTGCAAACTATTTCTAAAAACCCCTAAGGATCATGCAATACTTGGCAAAAGGAGTGTAATTTAAAATGAAGCGAACAAATCCTGACAAGATGTTATTGGTGTAAAAACACTGCAGTCTTCCTCCCAGATAACCTATGATAATTAACGGTCATGATCTTTTAAAAAGGCAAGGTAATGCCTGATTTCATACAGCCTTCTGCCCCTTTTGATATTTATAACTGTTTAAAGAAGAGGTAAAGTTTTAGCATGCCAGAAAAAACCCTTACTCAAATGGCATATTTCCCAGTAATTTCAACAGAAAGCAAATTTCAGTCTCCAGTGTGTGCAAAATCAAAGGCAAAGTAGGATGAGACCTCATATTTTCCCAATTACTACCATAAAACTTCTAAAACAATTCTATTTTCTTCAGAAAGTTTTTATGACACTGTTACAAAATAAGCTATTAATAAAAAATTAGTATCTCTGATGTGGCTTACACTGACAGTCATACACTGCAAAATTAAATATCTGGATTGAAGAATACAACCAAAGAAAAACTAATAATTTTGAGAAACACTAAAGGTCGCCCTGTTCAGAATTTAATGCAAGAATGAAATACTGTTGACGGTTTTCTTATAATTAAGTTCCATATTGAAATCAAGAAGCCGGAACATCTGCTTCCTTTTCATTTAGTAGGAAAATAGAGCTTGTTGCTGGGAGTCAGATCAATTCATGCAGTATTGTTACTTCTGCTGGATCTAGTATCAGACAGAGTTATAACACCTATCACCAGCCTCATCTTCTGGGCTAATTAGGATATTACTTACATATCTAGATAAAGAGACATTTTTTCAAGATGAGGAAAAAACATGCTCTGAATTAGAAAGAGGATGGAAGTAGCCAAGAAAAGTAACACAGTTTAAACATGTTTAAGTTTTACAATTCCCTTCACTAAATCTATTGCCATCAGAGGTTCTTTCAATATCTTTCCATAATGTGAACTGCATGTAAACAGAGTAATGCTGAAGAGCAAGCTACATGCTTGTCTGTCATCATGCAAGAACCCCATGGCAAACAGAAAAAATCAAGGAGGAAAGAAAGTTACTCCTGTAAGATCAGTCAATTTTCACTGAAAATTTAATCTGAATTTTTATTTGCAGTCATCACTGCGGTATTTGAACCACTGCTCCAAAAACCTTACAGACAGGATAAACAACACAGCTGATTACTGAAACAAAACAAGAAAAGTAAGACAAGGGAGAAAGTCTGATAAGCTTTAGGTCTAGGTGAAAAGGTGTTCTTTTTCCACTCACACGTAAATATACAGGGAATTGGTTTTCTAATATATTAAACTTCTACACACAAAAAGTAATGATAGTCTTTAAGTAAACCTCTGCCTCTGAATTGAAATAAAATAACACTGTACAAATATTGCAAGCACTAATGCACTAAATCCTCAAAATTCCCATTTGTACATTGTTCACAGTCAAATTTCAACTTTCTAGGATCCTCTTTAATTATTAAAAATTATTTTCTAAATATTTTAAATGAACAATTATTAGTCATTACATCACTCCCGTGTAAGCATCTCTGCTAAGAGGGAAACAGAGAAGGGATGTTGGAATCTGGAAACTGGGATGGTATTATAGAGAAAAGAATATTATGAAGTTTCTCGATGAAAAAAGATGAAAATGTAGGTGCAGATTTCATCAGAGGTCAAACCAAAACAATTTCTATGAATACAGTTCTATGAAAGTTGGTGTTTGTTTAATTAGGCATGGGCAAAAGACAGGAAATTCATTATCAAGGAAATACCAACGTTGAAATGCAGGTAAAGCATACAGAAAATCAGAAACTGAAAGCTGTTACCAGTATCTTTTTTTACCTTACTCAGACTTTAGTCTAGGAAACTCCCACTGACTTCACCACATCAAGGACTAGGGACAGGGTAACTAGCAGAATCAGTGTCCTGCCAGCACAGTTATGTTTTCAGATGGAGGCATGTGGCTGGGTCTCATAAGCACAGGCTTTCATCAAGCATCTTTCCTCCTAGGTTCCGAGCTGGCTTCAAGCGAGCTTTCCGCTGGTGCCCCTTCATTGAAGTGTCCAGCTATGAGGAACTAGAGCTCAAGGCAGCCCGGTTCCATCCCACCCGGCAAAGTAGCCTATATGCTGTGTCCAGAATGGAGTCCAGCATGACAGTGGTGTTGGACACTAATGATGGAGACAGCATGCACGCCAGCCACAAGAAAAGAGCACCTCCGAGGGACTTGAGTTTTAATGGTTATTCACAGAGGAATTCCAAGACCGTCTCCACAGCCTCAAGTCTCATCAGTTCACTGCACACTTCAGCAGATGTTTATTCCTAAACATTTCATGGTGACAGCTGCTAGAAGGACAGCACTGGACAATCGTCTCCTACTTTGGGACTAGATATTCATACCACGGGAAAGCAAAACAGATTCCACTGACAAATCCCAGCTATAAATGTTGCGACACTTTTACGTATCACTTACTTTTTTTGCTTTGGAGAGAAAGAGGAATTCGAAGACATGCATATGCCTCAGTCCAAAAGCACAATTGCACCTTATACACAACAATGTCTGTAGGGCTTATCCAAAATAAGCCAACGGCATAAAAAACATTGTTTCAGTTGCATCTGACCTGTGGCATTTATGTCTCACTTACTGAAGCGTAACTGGCCTCTTTACTTATTGAAGCTGAAATGTATGATGTTTTCTATTATGAGTGTATTAATTCTACAGTAACAAAATTACATGAGATTTGATAAAAAATGTCTTTATAACGAAGATCTAATGAGCCCCAAGTCTATTAAATTTACAGTTTAGCCCCATTCCCAGGCAAATAGACAAAATGCAAGCAAATGAAGTTCAGCTCTGTCTGCAACAGTACAATTTTTCAAATATATAAGAAAAATGCTTTTATTAAACATGAGAGCATGACCAAAAGACTAAGTTAAATTCTACCAAAGTTTCCATATTTTTGAACATTATACTCCAGTAGAATGTGTACTTCCAGTAGGATGTACTGCTTTGATAAATGTCCTCTAGCTTTGTATCTCAGTGTTAAGCTGTAAGGTCTGCCTCCAGCCACCTTAACAGAACCTTCCTGATTGATTTGAGAAAGGTCAAAAGGTTTTAAACTGGAGATTTATATATAAGAAAAATACCACTGTGGCAATGGACTCTTCTCTGCAGAAGATAAAGTAACATATTTCAGTATGAGAAACCTTTACCAGGAAAAAAAAATATTTGGGCTATTTTCACAAATTTTCCATAGGTTGACGTATGTAAAAATACTCCTCTGCCTGTATCTGAAAACATGCTAGGCATTATTATTACCTAGACACTTTCCCACCGAATTCAGCCAAAATCCACTGACCATCAGTGGATTTTGCAAAGTGCAAAGAAAGCTGAAGTAATAAAAAAGGGACCAGAGAGCAGACTTTGTTTTAGCTAAATGACTGTGTCAGTTGCCTGGATAAGCTGGTTGTGTGATTGTTTGTTCTCAAGCAGTTAATCAAAACATAAGCAGATGAGTGTGAATGTCTTCCTGCGTTAGCCAAACCAGCACAGGGCAGTAAGATCTGGCTGAACCCAACACAGTACCAAAGCTGAGCAACTAACAAAGAGAAGTTTGAAGAGAGAAAGGCTGGAGCTGACTTTAGTCCACACTCCTCAGTGACTGGGGATGATCGGCATTGTGACAGTGAGCATATCATAAGAGACCAGTAACAAGAATCATGTTTGTATTGTGATTCATCTGTATCGTCAATTGCTATATTCTGCTAAGTGTAATTTGTATTTGTGTTGTGATTTCAGTGCACTGTGGTATCACTTACTAAATCAAAATCCTGCAAAAGGTAAAATATCCTCAAATATGTGAACTTGGTACATTAAACCCTCCCTGCATGGAATAACTGAAGAACCTGGTCACAGAGTATTGTACTCTGATAAAAATGTATCACAATTCCAGACTCACACTTTTCCTATCCAAGGCCTGATCTTAAATCCACTGAAGCAAAGAGCTTTGCTCACTTATGACTTTCCTTTTAAATGTCCATCCATGCTTTTCAACAGTCTGTGTTCCCAAAAGAAACAGTTGGTTTTCATCATGCCATTGTCATACTCTCATTTTTCCTTTCTTCTTTTTTTAAAAGTGTGTAGTAATCCAGCGAGTGTCATGCAATGCCTATAAAATATTTTTTAATTTTTTTTCCCCTTAATTAATCTGTTTTAAGTACTTAAAAACCTTCACAAGGTGTTTAACAACTCTGTTCAGAAGATCCAGGATAGGTACACACACAGAAAAAAAATGACCCTAAGCATATTAACCTGGTGGTGATGTATTATAAATGCATGCTGTGAAATCCTCTGTCTGCTCATGCACAACTTTTGAGGAACATACATAGAGAAAATGTATACTTGTTAAATAATCTGTCTTTTCTAACTATGGCTATTACAAATTCAGTGTTGACAAACACCAATACAAGTTTGAACAATATAAGTTTGTAGTGAGATGAATTTATTGGTTTTAAATGTAGAGTATAAGTTTGAAAAAGCTGTATATAACACTACAGCATCATAAATCATCTTCATATAACTTTTGTGATCCCTGGTTGACAAATATCAAGAAAGCAATGGTGACTTCCTCACACTTGTACCTTCAGTGACACAATTTCACTTTCCTAAGTGTTTTATGATATGACTTCTTGGACAAATAATCCACTTATAATCATCTCACTATATTTTGGTGGGTTAGGGGTGTCAAAAACACCCTCATCATTCCTGTAATTCTACTCTGAAGTTATAGGATATTCCTGTACAACAAATGAAGAAATCCATGCTTGCAATCACAGCATTGCTTTAACGGAACATTACAGTGATCCATGGTGTAAATTCATCTCTCTTTCTCAGCCCAGAAAAATGTGCAGGGTTACACAAGAGTTCAACAAGTAGCACAGCAAAAGCTGTGACTGACAGCAAATTCCATTTGAATTACTATTTCTGAACAAATGTTTTCAGTAAGAGTCCTCATCACTATAAAATTCCTTATAGGCCTCCTGACACCCCTCACTGAGTATAGAGCACATCAGGACATCCTCATTTTGTGCCAGTAAGACTGCTCAAAGTAGTAGCCTGCACACAGAGTACATGCTTCTGGGGGTTGCTGTGCAGCACTGTAGCAGTCTCATGTCTGTACTGCAACTTTCATTTAACATTCTTAACTTTTGCTGAGAGGTGAGTTAAAGAGAACAGACAGATACAGAGATAGCTTCCTACTGAGGGGGCATAATAATACTCCAAAACAGCTACAATTCAACATCATCAGGAAAGGTCTTCTGATCTTGAAAATCTTCTGAAACATTAGTCCTTCTCAGGTATAAGAGTTTCTAGTACTTTGGCCCAGGCTCCAGTTGGCGTCTGTCTCTAAAATGTTTATATGATGAAAAGATTTCATGGCTCCCTAAACTGCCACTTTGTAGGGAGGTTCCCTCAGTAGAGGACAGGTTTAACTTTCACATTGCCAGAGACAGAATATTCAGCATAAGTTTTCCCTGCCAATTTCTTGACATTGGCTAAACTTGTAAAACACAAAAAACAAAATGAGACAAAACAACAACAACAAGAAACAGGAAAAAAACACAAACCAACCAATCAAATCTAAAAAACCAAAATCAAAACAAAACACAAAAAAACCCCACAAAACAACAAAAGAACCAAAAGAGTTAAACACGTCTATATTTAAACACAGACCTTCAAACTAATTTTTTGAAGTTTTACAATATCTTGTCTCAAGTCTTTGTGGTGGTCCATTCTCCTCCCCACCCCCTCCTCAGGACACTCTACAACCTCAGGAATCCCTGCTGGGCATTGGTCTTTGTGTGACAAGTTGGGTGGTCAAGCGTCCCTTGACACACTAGGAAAATTTGCACGGTTAAGCTGGGAACATCACTGAGGTGAAAGACAAGCACAATCCGTCACTCTGTAACAACCTTGGGACCTTCCTCCCTGAACAGTAGCCCCAGGGGAACCATAGAATCCTAGAATCAACCAGGTTGGAAAAGACTTCTGAGATCATCAAGTCCAACCCTTGATCCAACACCGCCATGGTTACTAGACCATGGTACTAAGTGCCACATCCAGTCTCATCTTAAAAACCTCCAGGGATGGTGAATCCACCACCTCCCTGGGCAGCCCATTCCAATGTCTGATTAGTCTCTCTGTAAAAAATTTCCTCCTAATATACAGCCTAAACATCCCCTGGCACAGCTCAAGTCTGTGCCCTCTTGTCCTACTGCTGGTTGCCTGGGAGAAGAGACCAACCCCCACTTGGCTACAACCTCCTTTCACAGAGTTGTAGAGAGTGATGAGGTCTCCCCTGAGCCTCCTCTTCTCCAAGCTAAACGATCCCAGCTCCCTCAGCCTCTCCTCATAGGACTTGTGCTCAAGTCCCTTCACCAGCCTTGTTGCTCCTCTCTGGACCTGCTCCAGCACCTCAATATCCTTCCTGAACTGAGGGGCCCAGAACTGGACACAGCACTCCAGGTGTGGCCTCACCAGTGCTGAGTCCAGGGGAAGAATCACTTCCCTGGTCCTGTTGGCCACACTGGTCCTGATCCAGGCCAGGATGCCATTGGCCTTCTTGGCCACCTGGGCACACTGCTGGCTCATGTTCAGCTTCCTGTCGATCCAAACTCCCAGATCCATTTCTGCCTGGCTGCTCTCCAGCCACTCTGTCCCCAGCCTTTGTGACTGGAGTATTGAAAGCAATTTGAAATTGTATTGGAAACAATTTGTAATTGTTTTGAAAACTCAAGTAATTACTGACCTGAGGATGAAAATTTTACAGATTACTAAAGTAAACCATCTTGCAACTCTATAAATAGGCAACCCAAGTGAGGCCCTTTGAGCTGGACTGCAGTGGGATGTGCCAGCATCCCTGTCAGAGTGGGACACCTCTTGGAGCTTGCAAACTCTCACATTTGTGATAGCTAGAGGACAATTACCTAAAGCTGATGACAGAGGCTAGGTTGATAAAGTCCTCCCACTCCTCAGGGCTCAACCCTCACCCATTAAGAAAAGCCAAAGTACTCAATATGGGTATTTCACTGAACTCAAAGGAAATGTTTCACAGATATTTTTGTATATACTTCTCTGTGTGTGTGTGTGTGAATTGATTTAAATACTCTATAGCAAGTATAGCATAAATACTGTTGTCTTGGAGCTATAATTAAGGTACTATTGCAGCTGTAGTCAATTCTATTTAATCATTTTATAAATGTTGAATTAGTCAATTGAAGAAGTGCTACTTAAACCCTTTAAATATAAACGTTGATCGGGTCTGA